CTTCTTTGGTACTCCATTCATCAACAAACATCTACATAGTGCGGTCCTATCAACAGAATCGAAGACCGCGCGAATGTGTAAGAACTCAATAATCCTTGGTCTGCGGTAAGCATGACGGTGCTCAAGCAACTATTGAAGGGTGACGATTTGATCGATGCAGCCACGACCGGCACGAAACCCAGCCTGCTCCTCGCGCATTTTGTACAACCTACGAAGAATGATGGACGCTAACAGCAGAAAAACAGGAGTGCGAAAACCCCATTGGGGCTCACCGTTCAATTCACCGAATCATACGTCCGTGGGACGGGGTCACACGTTCAGGTCATTCGATACATCTCGATAGCTACACGAGCATATATCGCCAAAGAACGTGGGCGGCGTTCCTACGATCCTGTTTGATTAGTTTAGAATAAGGGATTTTGGCCAATGTCTCCAAGCTACCTGTCAATGATTGATCGAGTCGGCTATTCCCGGCTTAACCAGCAGAGGCAATCGATACGCTTGATAAAATATGAGCACTTTGCAAGGAAAGGGACACCAATTAAACAAAACACCCACCTCAGACCGACAATTGAACCACTTTTGTTCCATTGGACGATATCCCATTTGATCATTCCATGCGAATGCTGGTGGTCCCCGAGGTTCCACACATCAGTCACTCTCTCTTTCTAACTTCTTATGATTCATCATCCCAAACCTCCGAACCCATTCAGTTAACCGCTGATGCCACTCTCCATCATTCACAGTCTAACACCACGACCCAACAGCACCGAAAGGGACTATAATTTCATTAATGCTTCACTTGCCTCCGATCTCGGATTCATCCATTTATGCGCTTTTACCAACAATTCCCCCCTCCTCTTGTCAAGCTCTCAATGACATGCACCTGCTTGACCCACACTCGCTCCGTTCAACAGATTCTCTCCTGGGATTATCCCTAATTTCTTTGTTAGTCTAAATTTACCCTTACCGTTTTACACCAACCAACCTTCCTTACAAACCTCGAATCTAACAGACGATGCAATATTGATCGGGGCCATCGTAAGGCTAGCTAACTAATCGACGATCAGTCTTCAACCTACAGTTGACAGCCGCTTTCCTATGGACGGGTGATTGCTGCATCATCTCTTTTCTATCATAACTGCATTTGCTGCAAAATAACTGACACCTTTTGCTGATTTTCTGTCGGTTCGTGAAGGCAAAGGTTAAAAGAAAATATGCTAGATCATTTTTAGTTGTTAAAGCAGAGTTTCAACCAGCATTGAGCGTTATGGAACGAAAGATCAAGTTCTTTAGGACGAACGTGCATCACAAGTCACCATGGAGTGTGAAAGGATCTTGTGGTGAAACCAACAGACAATTTTCTATGCATCACATTAAACCTTTCTGTCAGTAACATTACCTGCCAGTGGGAAGCAGCAGTGCTCGTGCTTGCAACTACCTTAATTTGTAGACTTAATTTTGATGATGATGTCCTCTTTTACATTCGTTCACCAATTTAGTGGATCTGAAAAGCAACTGAACCGCGAAGTGCACATACCGTTAACAAGTTTAAGAACAAAACGAACAATTGCTTTAGGATATTCATCTTTTGGGGAGCACGAATCATATACTTGACTTGAAGCAACTATTTTACATAGTCGGCTGTTCGTAACGTC